GTAAAGATTCCACTGTAGAACAGGCCCTGGTGTTCTGAAAACCAGTGGTCTCGTTTTTGGCTTTGCCAAGCATGATTTTTTTTTTTTTTTTTTTTAATTTGGATTGCACTTTTTTGATTCATGACTGTACCTGCACATGGTTGTAACTTTGACTCTCTTCGCGACTCCCAAGCTGGATTCACAAGTTCTGATTCCTGCATTTGCTTCCACTGTGATTTGTTCTCGAAACTTAACAGTGAGCTTATAAGCAAGCGAGTGGACCGTACCACCCAGGGACCAGAAGATGGAGCCCACACAGACTTCTTGTGTAAAAATATGAATGCTGAAATATTTCCAACATTTTTTTTTTAATTTAATAAACATTGTAGCCACATTTAAATGGTCTAAACCCATAACATTGTAGTCATGGCAACCTGCTAAACTTTCTCATGCAACTAAAATTTATGGGGAAGATGGGGGTGGGAGGGTTGTACATTTCCCATTGTAAAATAAGTGTTTTAAATGTCCTGTACTGCTAATGAAATGACTTTCTATATGTCCAAGAGCTCTCCAGTGGAATAACTATGCACTACTTTACATTTCATGGGGATGCACACACAAAAAAAAAAAGTATTATGTTTTTAGTTGCTGTTTGTACCAACCTTGAATTACATGTTTAACAACAACAAATCAAAACTCCTATTTCTATTGAGTTTTTAATACTGAGTAGCCACTCTAAAGTCTTAATTCCTTTTTTGTTATGATTTATTTGTGAGTTTACATTTTTAAATTGTTTAACTTTCTTAATTTAGTAATTAAAAAGAGAGCATTTTACATTTGGAATTTTTTTGTTCATTTGTTTAAATCATGGGTGACACTCTAGTGGTCCTGTGCCACATCAGTCCCATACCAGATGGCAAGGAGTCGCTGGTGAATGTAGCCAGTGCACAGAGGATTTCTAAATGACAGACACATTCAGAACATCTGGAGTGGTTGGGTTGGGTTTTTTTTTTATTATTGTTTCTTTTTTTTCTTTTTCTTCCTGCAGAAAGGTTAGGCCGTCTAGCTAATACAGAGGATTATTAAAGCAAGGCTAGCAAGACATACCTTCTGATTTTAATTTATCAGAAACTTTGACTGGAGTGTGCTGTGTCTCACTTGTAGGAGAAAGAGACAATTTCAAGAAGAATCTTTCTGCCCTAAAGTCAGTATTTATAGTTCCTAGGATCCCTCCAAGAGCCCTGGTGGTACTATGGTTAAGTGCTCGACTGCTATCTAGAAAGTTAATGGTTCAAACCTGCCAGCCACTCCAAAGGAGAAAAGCCCTGGCAATCCTTTCCTGTAAAGATTACAGCCCAGGAAACCCTTGGGGACAGTGCTACTTGGTCCTATAGGGTCGCTATGAGTCAGAATCAATTTGATGGCAAGTGACATCCAACCGCAGGATCCTGAGCAGACCCCTGGTGTCTCTTGCTTTCGGATCCTCATAGATAGAAATGAGGGGAAGGACAAGATTCACTGTTCGGTCCCCAGAGCTCTGAGAGCCTGTGCTTCTAAGAGTACTGATGTCATGTATAATCATACAATTTTCTTGCTGGGATAACCTTTACATTTAGAAAAGGTTTCCAATTTTTTTTTTTAATTGAAAGGAAGGGATTTTCAGGTCAGCTGAGACTTTATCACATTGTTTTTGGTACTAAAATAAATAAAATTTTAAAGATCTTAATCCATATAATTATTATGACATTATTGGGCAATCTCTTAACACAATCTAGATATTTTTTATGATCACTTTGTTTTCAATCCTTACATCCCACTAGGTTGAATAATTTGCACATATTCTCTGGAGGATTTTTGTTTATATTTTTGACTCAGTCATTCAAAAAATATCTGAAAAAAAATCATAGCCTGTTTTTAACAAAGATTCTTTAAGAAAAGGAATCTCTTCAAAATATATTCTTTAATTCAGTGATGGAGTTTACTGTGGATTCTCTTACATGTAGGAAAACTGAAAGGATTGGGGCCAAACCCACGGGTGCCCTCAGGAGCTACAGCCCGCCAGAACTGTTCCAAAAGATGAAGAGCGGGGCTGTAGCGTGCAAGGAAGAAAGCTCTCAATACTAGGAAACGAGAAACATTTCAGGTTTTTTCTTCCAAGAGGCTGACGTCGTGTTGTATTCCTGGGGTATTCCTGAGGTAGACCAGCCGAGGCAAAGGAAATATCACCTCCAGGGCATCTTCACATCTTCCAAGTAGCCTCTCTCCCTCACAAGTTGGGCAAGCTTGGAGTGAGAAGCAGAATCCTCTGGCTGGAAGATCGTTTTATTAAGAAAGAAAAATATCTTGAAAAATTCTTTTGTGGGAAGTTATAGTCACGTATTGTTTTGTCTTTAGGAACCTCGTGGTGAATAAAAGACGTCATCTCTTCCCTTAGGGGTGCTGCTGTTCAGCACTGCTGGGCTGTATAGGCTTCTTAGTAAGACTTCCTTTATTATTCCTTTATATTCACTTACTGCAAATCAAATAATAAACCTATTGGAGAAGACAGCATTGCAAAGTGCAGACACTATAACAGAATGATTTCTGTTCACCCCATTCTCTGCACCCACACCTTCCCCGATGCTTTGTTGACGGTGATGGGTTGGGAAGATCAGAGGACCTGTCATCCTGAAGGGTCGCTAAGAGTCAGAATCAACTCCATGGCAGTGTGTTTGGTTTTTTGGTTTTACCAGAGGCAGGGCCTCCTGTGTGTAAGAGCATTGCGGTATAGACCAGGGCAATTGCCTATGCTGTGGGCCTGGCACAGACAGGTGTATGGGGTGCCTGACATTTCCTGGTTGGAAGTTCACCATTTGCAGACTTGTTGATGCTCAAGAAAAGCCTTCCCAACTGCTTGTAAACAATGGTACTGACTTCTGATCTCAGCTTCAGTTTTTCCAAGGGACACAAAGTTCGGGTGAAAAGCTAAGGGTGTGCATAGTTCCTCAAATAAGCCACAGTACTGACAGATTTCCTGACACCACCAGAGGCTGTTTACCTGCTTTGAGGAAGGCAGCAATCCTCCTGTGGCTACTTCTTGGCACCAGAGAATTTTCTCCTAACTGCAGAGCTGAAAATTTAATCTATAATTTCCCATGGGGCTTTAAGAATTTATACCGTGTTTGTTAGAATGGTGCTTTCATGATTCTTGAACGAAGTAAGGTTTTCAGAAGCGTCCAGAGGAGAGTCATACGGGAGCCACTGCAGAAGGGATGCTCTGTTTGTCAGGAGACCCTCATTTGACAAAACGGGCATTTCCGAAAGAGTTGTATTTGAAGAAAATATTGTCTGGTCAATTTGTGCCTGAAAGATATTTTAATAGATTTAGATGACTTTTACTCATGTTACCACTGCATGTTTCACAGTTAGAATTCAGTTACTTGAATTCCAAAATATTTGCTGAAAGGAAGGAGACATGAAGGGAGAGAGGGAAGGGAAGAGAAAAGAAGGTGGGAGGGTGGCTTGGGAGGGAAAAAAGTTCAAGTTTTTATACTAAATATGATAATGTGAATCACAAACTGCTAAAAGAGTTAACAATTACATGTTTAAGTCTCAGAAATAGATTACAACCACATAAAAGGAAAATAAAAATGGGTGTCTCTGATAGCTTTAAAATACCAAATGGATCCTCATAATTTATATTTTATATATATATAAATGTAAGTATATCCAGAGAGTTTTCATAGTAAATTCCTAAATTGTATTCATTCTATATCCATATGCAAAATAGTCAGAATCCTATGGGGAGAAAATTCGTTATTTTAAAAATTAATGCTGAAGACTGGAAATAAGTGGTTTTCCAATGTGACAGAGACTAATCGAAAGAGAATATAATCAGTGATAAGTGGCAACCCCCCAGCAGCCAGTGCGCTAGGCTCTTCTCAGACTACTTCCTCTACCCTTCTAATACTAAGGAGCTCTGGTGGCCTAGTGCCTAAGGTAACCAGAGGGTTGCTGGTTCAAACCCACCTGACACTCTGCAGAAGGAAGACTGGGCAATCTACTTCCATAAAGATTTACCAACCTCGGAGACCCAATGGGGGTCGCTATGAGTTGGAATCGACTCCACGGCAGTGAGTAGTCGTAGTACTCTCAGTGTGTTTCCCTTGCCAGATTGTGAACTCATTAAGAACAGAAAATGCCTGACTTGTTCTCCATTTTTTCCCCTGTACTTAGAACAATGATGAGCTTACGTAGATGCTGAATGGAATGGATGATGCCCACTGTCCAGTGGGGTGAAGAATTTACCTACACATGGCACCTTTTCCTAAGAAGCGGCTGAGAACACAGGATTTGCTGTGTGCTTCTCACAGCAAGCACCCTGCCCATTAAGAATGTGGTCACCAGTCTTAAATAGAGGACATAAAAGCCCAGTCTATAGCCTGAAGAGAATACCATTAGCACCTCACAGACCTTTCTCCATAACTCATCCCAACACCAGTGGGGGATAAACTTACACCCTGCAGCATGGAGGGAGCAAGGGCCCCAAGTGATATACAGTCCAAAAAAAATTCCTTCAAGGTCTTGTTTAACCTTACAATTTTATGAAAAGTTGATATTCTACTCTACTATACATCTATCTTTGTCTTAATATAAAAAAATAAAATCATTTCCCCAGACCTTCACGTTGTGCGTTGTTAACCAGCCTATGGTTTCAAGTGTCCCTGCCACACCTTTGCATGACCAGGGACTGACTGCCTGTGACCTGGATGAGAGAAGCACACCATCTTGATGTCCATTACTGACAAAGTGTAAATATTGTCCCTGGAAGAGGTCATATTAGCCCCCATTAATATAGATTCTGTTATCTGA